CTTTCAGGCCCTGGTGGGATGAGAAGGGGGGAGGCTTCCCCGTGGGATCGCCTTTGCCCCCCACTCAAAACAATGTCCCAGCAGATCCACCAGCCTCCCATCCTTTTCTGCCCCCCTTCCATCCTCCCTTATCCCCCCCTCCATTCGGTTTACTTCTGCGGATCTTTCGGGGCCTCCATTCTGCTGCTGGGTTCCTCCTCCATCTCTCTCCAAGGGAAGGAAAGAAAAGAAAAGAAAAACACGAGTGGGGAGAAAGGAGGAGAACCCCTGAACTCTTTCCCGACCTCCGATGCCTCTCCTCTCCCCGTCAAGACCAGTAGCAATAAACCATACTCCTCCAAAACTTTGTAACCAGATTGTGACAGTTGCTTTCTTTCTGCAAAGCAAGGCGGATCGCGCGTGGAGAGGGTCCCGCGTGTCCCAGGGAGGGTGTCTGGACCCACCACAAGCATCTTTCCTTTTCTTTTCCCCATCTCCAAAGATTCTTTCCCCCCCCCTTCCCTTATTCAGGAATAGGCCTCTCAACTCAGCTCCCACGGATGCGACTTTTCCACTCGCGCGTGAATCCGAATTCACAAAGACACGTAGGAAAAAAGGGCGGTTGCAACCTCTCCCTCCCCACTTCGACCCCCCCAAATCCATGCAGATTTGTCAATCCCCCTCCCCTCCAGCCCACTCGCGAGGATTGAGATTCCCACGATCGCCCCGGACCCGAGTGGGAACCCAGGATCGGAGAGCCTCCCGCAGAAGCAGAGGAGGAAGAGAAGCCTCCGAAGGGATGGATCTGGAGCCAAACCCAGAAAGAAAGAAAGAAAGAAGAGTCACTCCACCGAAAGAGGATCCTCTCTTTCACCCGTCGGATCCCTCCATCCCGATCTGGAAAAAGCCATGGATCTCTCTCCCCCCACCCCCCAACAACTCTTTCTTCTCCTTCCTTCCCTCTATTTTTTTCTTTTTAAATCCGCTTCTAAATTATCAAAGGAAGAAGATCAGGAGAGAAAGGGAAGGAGAGGAAAGTTGGATCGCAGGATTGGAACCCAAGACCAGCCAAGAAAAGCGGGGAGGAAAGAAATGGAGAAAGAAAGTGACTTGGAAAGGAGTTTGGTTTTGGTTTTGGGGAAGGGGACAGAGATCTACTTTTCTCCAAATGGCTTTGCTTTTGGGTTTTGGAGGGGTAATCGAGATCTATTTTCTCTAAATGGGTTTGTTTTTGGGTTTTGGAGAAGTAGTAGTGAACTGCTTTTCCCCAAATGGGTTTGCTTTTAGGTTTTTGGAGTTGGAGGGCAGAGATCTATTTTTCTCCAAATGGGTTTGCTTTTGGGTTTTTGGCTGGGGGGGGGATAGAGATCTACTTTTCTCCAACTGGGTTCGCTCTCCAGAGTTGAACCCCTCAAAAACTATAAACACAGATAGAGAGGGAGAAAACATTTACAGCAGTGTTAGCTATGTGACAAAGGACAATAAAATCCCAAATCCCCCCAAACAGGGATCCCTTTCTTGGATCGACCCAAATGCACCAAAAAAATACATGTTGCAGTCGATCCAAGAAAGGGATCCCTGTTTGGGGGGATTTGGGGTGTTGTTGTACACACAGAGAGAGAAGTCAAGGAGAAAAGCAGAAAGTCCTGAGAATTGCACAACACACAACACACAAACACACACAAAGAGGAATCCACAAGGAACCCACCTCGTTTCAGTCGATCCTGAGAGTGTTGCGGCTCCTTGTGTGTGTCCATGTGTGTGTTGTGTGTGTTTGTGTATC